ATCTCTTTAACTCCCTTTCTACCATCCTCAGACAAGAATTAACCAGCTGTCAGTATAGATTAGTTTAAATGTTCCAGTTTTATCAAAATGAAAACAAGTTCATAATCTTTTTTGTTGTTGTTGTTTAGCTTCTTTCATTCAGCATAGTTATTTTGAGATTTGTCCACATTGTTGCAAGTAACAAGTTTTTGTTTTTTTTTTTTTTTAATTGCTTAAGAGAACTCCATCATAAGGATATGGTCCATTTATTCATTAAACATTTGTACTGTTTCCACTTTAGGGCAACTACAAATAAAGCTTCTCTGAACATTAACATACAAATCTATATACAAGTCTATGTGCAGACACAGTGTTGTTGTTCTGGTGGTTTTTTGTTTGTTTGTTTGTTTGTTTGTTTGCTTTAGGTTTTTGGTTTTTGATAAATTAGCTAAAAGTAGAATGGCTAAATCATATGGTAAGTAGGTGTTTAATATTTTAAGAAACTGCCAAACTTTTTTTTTAAAGTAGTTGTACCATTCTGTATTCTCATCAGCAGTGTTTGCCTGTTCCAACTCCTGCACATCCTTAACAATACTTAAAAGTCTTTTCAATTGTTTGGTTTTTTCAATTTTAGCCATTCTAATAAATGGGTAGTGAGATCTCTTCATGGTATTTGCAGTCCCCTAATGATTAAGATGTTGAGTATCTTTTCATGTGCTTATCTGCCACTATCAACTTTGGTGAAGTTATCTATACAAACATTTGCCCATTTTTTAATCAGACTGTTACTATTGAGTTTTGAGTTATTTATTCATTCATTTATTTATTTATGCTGGGGATTGAACACAGAGGCACTTAACAACTAAGCCACATCCCTAGCCCTTTTGGTCCTTTTATTTTGAGACAGGATCTCACTAAGATGGTTAGGGTTTTGCTAAGTTTCTGAACTTAGAAAGCCTTGAACTTGTGATTTTCCTACTTTAGTCTCTCAAATCACAGGGATTACAGGTATCCTAGCACCTGCCCTAGCTGAGTGTCCTTTAAAAGTACCCGTCCTCTATATGATATATGCACTGCAAAAGTTTCTCCCAGTCTGTATCTTCTGTTCATTCTCTATGAATGAAGTTTTAATTTTGAAGAAGTCCCAATTTACCTTTACCCAGATTTACCCCATTTTTCTTTTATAATTCATACTTTTGGTGTCATAAGAAATATTTGCTTACTAACCTGAAGTCACAAAAAATTTCACTATTTTTTAGAAGTTTCACAGTTTAGAAAATTTTTTTCAGGTAGGCCTGTAGTCTTATTTGAATACAACCTAAGATAAGAATCAAAATTTCTTTTTTAAAATATCAAAGTATCTTCTGTAATCACAACAAAATGAAGTTAGTAATCAAAAACAGAAGGAAAACTGGAAAAATTACAAATTTGTGCAAATAGTCAACATATTCAAACAATCAACATAGCAAAGAAGAAATCACAATGGAAATTAGATAATACTTAGAAATAAACAAAAATTTATAAACTACATATTTACACTATGTAACACATTGAAAGCACTGTAAAAGAGGAAAGTTATACACCTCAACATTTATGTTGAAAAAGAAGAAAAATTTAAAATCAACAACCTAACTTTACAGTATAAGATGCTGGAAAAATAAGAACTAAACCAAAGCTAGCAGAAGGAAAGAAATAAAACTAGATCAAGAATAAAT